ATGGGGTGGGTGGAGGGGGGAGGATGAAGAGCTGGATGAGGCGAGTGGTGAGGGAGGAGATGGTCAGCTGTACTATAAAACCGGATGAAAGATGACACCGATATTGTTACTCCATCGCCCTCCCTCACACGTGGAGGTGAGAGGGGGGGGGTAACGGGGTGGAGAGGATTGAGGAGTGGGAGAGAGGTAGATGGAGAGGAGGTAGGTGGTGTGGAGGGAGAGGTAGGAGAAAGGGAAGAATTCTTGATGAAGTTGCAGAAACAAACATGTATACACGCCTACACAACGTACAGAAACACACAACACTCAAACAACATCTATTTTCGCAGGGTCTTTTGTGCATCAGCAACCTGAGAGAGAGAGAGAGAGAGAGAGAGAGAGAGAGAGAGAGAGAGAGAGAGACCCGTCTCTCGTGTGTGTGTGTGGTGCATACGTCACCTTGGTAACCACTCCCAGATGTTGTGTAAACAAATTCTTCCGGTCATCGACATGCAGAGGGTGCGTCTGGTGGTGTTTGTTCATATTGTATGTCGCTTAAACACGCCATCTCTTACCTTCAGGTGGGCAAGGCGTGTGTGTGTGTGTGTTATGGTGCACTAAGGTTTAAAGAGACAAAAAAAAAACAAGTTAATTAATTATTGCATTGTAATTTAGCATACACTCGCACGCATCCAAGTACTGTACACGATCTAATTTATTCGACTAAATATATATATATACACTCGGTCAAGCACTCGCAAGTATACGAACACACACACACACAGTTTCATACTGGCACCATGCACGCATAGAACACACATGCAACAAGGAAGCCCATTCTAGAACACCCCACACCTTCTTCCTGCAGCAGAGACATCAGAAGGTTTACACATTACGAGGTTTCCTTGACGGTGGCAACACAATGCTTCCTCTACCTCGGTGAGTATACAAGGCTTCCTCTACCTCGGTAGCAACTAAGGCGTCCTCTACCTCGGTGGTGGCAACACGAACCTCAGCCTCAGTGGGTGGCAACACAAGGCTTCTCTGGTGAATTTGTAACCTGAAGGCTTCCTCAACCTCTGAGTGGTGACAACACAAAGGCTTCAACTTACCTCGTTGGTGTAACACAAAGGCGTCCTCCCTCTCGGTGGTGGCAGCCTAGGAGCTTCTTTACTCAATTGGTGGCAACACAAGGCGTCCTCCATCTACCTCCTGATGGTGGCAACACAAGGCTTCTTTCCTCAGTGGCAACACAAAACTTCCTCTACCTCGGTGGTGGCAGCAACACAAGGCTTCCTTTCCCTCGTTGGTGGCAACCTAGGGCTTCCTCTACCTCAGTGGTGGCAGCAACACAAGGCGTCCTCTACCTCAGTGGTAGCTTGCTTACAAGGCTTCCTTTACCTCGGTGGGTGGCAACCTGGGCTTCCTTCACCTCGGTGGTGGCAACACAAAGGCGTCACCTCTACCTCGGTGGTGGCAACACAAGGCTTCCTTTACCTCGTGGGTGGCAACCTGGCTTCCTCAACCTCGGTGGTGGCAACACAAAGGCATTCTCCCTCGTTGAGTGGCAACACAAAGGCTTCGCTACCTCGATGTGGTAGCAACACAAGGCTTCCCTTACCTCCAGTGGTGGCAACACAAGGCGTCTCAGATGTGGTGGCAACACAAGGCTTCCTCTACCTCGGTGGTGGCAACACAAGGCTTCCTCTACCTCGGTGGTGGCAACACAAGGCGTCCTCTACCTCGGTGGTGGCAACACAAGGCGTCCTCTACCTCGGTGGTGGCAACACAAGGCTTCCTCTACCTCGGTGGTGGCAACACAAGGCTTCCTCTACCTCGGTGGTGGCAACACAAGGCTTCCTCTACCTCGGTGGTGGCAACACAAGGCTTCCTCTACCTCGGTGGTGGCAACACAAGGCTTCCTCTACCTCGGTGGTGGCAACACAAGGCTTCCTCTACCTCATTGGTGGCAACACAAGGCCTTTACTCGGTGGTGGCAACACAAGGCTCACTTACCTCCGGTGGTGGCATGGGCTTCCTTTACCTCAGTGGTAGCAGCAGCACAAGGCGTCCTCTGCCTCAGTGGGTAGCAACCTGAAGGCTTCCTTTACCTCAGTGGTGGCAACACAAAACTCCCTTTACCTCGGTGGTGGCAACACAAAGGCTTCTCAACCTCAGTGGTGGCAGCACAGACTCCTCAACCTCGTGGTGGCAACACAAGGCGTCCTCTACCTCGTTGGGGTAGCAACTTCTGAGAGCTTCCTTTACCTCAGTGGTAGCAACACAAAACTGCTACCTCAGTGGTGGCAACACAAGGCGTCCTCTACCTCCAGTGAGGTAGCAACACAAGCGTCCTCTACCTCGGTAAGGTAGCCTTCAAGGCGTCCTCTACCTCGGTGGTGGCAACACAAGGCTTCCTCTACCTCGGTGGTGGCAACACAAGGCTTCCTCTACCTCGGTGGTGGCAACACAAGGCGTCCTCTACCTCGGTGGTGGCAACACAAGGCGTCCTCTACCTCGGTGGTGGCAACACAAGGCTTCCTCTACCTCGGTGGTGGCAACACAAGGCTTCCTCTACCTCGGTGGTGGCAACACAAGGCTTCCTCTACCTCGGTGGTGGCAACACAAGGCTTCCTCTACCTCGGTGGTGGCAACACAAGGCTTCCTCTACCTCGGTGGTGGCAACACAAGGCTTCCTCTACCTCGATCGTCTCTTCTCCCCGGTCTCTACATTATACCTAGTGCACTATAGTGAGTTTTTCCCAGATGAGAAGAGATGCCCCGCCCCCTCCTCAAGAGTTAATGCTGATTGGCTGTTGCAAATCTGTCCGATTTTGTCCTGAAGTAATGTCATAATAAGGCATACTAAGACAAATTACGTATCAGTAAAACCACATTATGCAAAAACTAACATTTTAAAAGATCAGAATCATTTTGAAATATTACACGGCCGTCAGCAGAGGCGGGAAATATAAAGCTGTTCGCAGACATATGCTGGTCTCTTTCTGGTAAAATAAATATATATTAAATGCGTCTTCCAAAAGCGTGAATTTCCTACCAGAGTTTAACAGTTAATTCATGTATAAGATTTCTGATAAACTTCCTACATGCTCCTGTTTGAAATAATGAATGTATGTAGCTTTATATGATTTAGCTAAATTTCTTTCTCGTCAGAAACGGTCATCCCAACGATTATGAATAAACTCGTTTAGAAATACATCATTACTTCAGGACGAAATCGGACAGATTTCCAACAGCCAATCAGCTGTAATTCTTGAGGAGGGGGCGAGGTATCTCGTCTCAGCTGGGAAAAAACGCACTATAATGTCCATGGTCTTCTGTGTCTCCCTGTATGGCCTCCCAGACCCTTCCTTCAGTGTATTGGTCTCCTATGCCACCCTCCCTGGCCTACCCAGACACTTCCTCCAGGACCTTGATCTCCTGTGTCTCCCTGCTGGCCTCCAGGACCTTGATCTCCTGTGTCTCCCTGCTGGCCTCCCAGACCCTTCCTTCAATATCTTTGTCTCCTATGCCACCCTCCCTGGCCTCCAGAACCTTGATCTCCTGTGTCTCCCTGCTGGCCTCCCAGACCCTTCCTTCAATATCTTTGTCTCCTATGCCACCCTCCCTGGCCTCCAGGACCTTGATCTCCTGTGTCTCCCTGCTGGCCTCCCAGAGCCCTCCATCAGGACCTTCCTCTCCACCCTGCCTTTGCTGGTCCGAGTTTTTCCTCTTGTCATTCGCCCTCTCAGAACTCCTTTAGTCACGTCTCTTTGTCCCTCCTTCCTTCTTTTCTCTCTTTCTTATATTCCTTTGACGAGTTTCCTCTCTTCCTCTTAATTACCTCAAGACCTTCCTCCCGCCCCTTCTTCTTTTCCCTCTTCCTCATTTATGATAAATTCGTTAATACCATTTCTGCCATCGCTACCACTACTACCATTAATGCCATTATTATCATATCTACCACCACCACTAACATTAATGCCATTACTACCTTTATCACAACCACAATTACCACCAGCATCAACAACACCACCACCACCACCAGCAGTAATGGTAGCGTCTCCACCATCGCTTGATGGTGGCGGCGTCTGGCATTTATTAGAAGTAATGGTAGCGTCTCCCTCACCATCTGGCTACAGCAGCAGCTTGGTAATGATGATGTCTCCACCACCAGCAGTAGTATGGCAGCGTCCCCGGCAGTAGCAGTAATGGTAGCGTCCTCACCACCATCTGTTTTCCCCCGGCAGCAGTAATGGTGGCGTCTCCACCACCAGCAGTGGTGGCGATCCCGGCAGTAGCAGTAATGGTATCGTCTCCACCTGCAGCAGTAGCAGCAGCGTTCCCCAGCGTGGCAGTAATGCGGCGTCTCACCACCATCTGACCCCGGCAGCAGCAGCAGTAATGGTGGCGTCTTACCACCAGCAGTAGTGGCAGCGTCCCCCGGCAGTAGCAGTAATGGTAGCGTCTCCACCACCATCTGTTTCCCCCGGCAGCAGCAGTAATGGTAGCGTCTCCACCACCAGCAGTAGTGGCAGCGTCCCCCGGCCGTAGAAGTAATGGTAGCGTCTCCACCACCAGCAGTAGTGGCAGCGTCCCCCGGCCGTAGAAGTAATGGTAGCGCGTCCCCCGGCAGTAGCAGTAATGGTAGCGTCTCCACCACCATCTGTTTCCCCCGGCAGCAGCAGTAATGGTAGCGTCTCCACCACCAGCAGTAGTGGCAGCGTCCCCCGGCCGTAGAAGTAATGGTAGCGTCTCCACCACCAGCAGTAGTGGCAGCGTCCCCCGGCCGTAGAAGTAATGGTAGCGTCTCCACCACCAGCAGTAGTGGCAGCGTCCCCCGGCCGTAGAAGTAATGGTAGCGTCCCCACCACCATCTGTTTCCCCCGGCAGCAGCAGTAATGGTAGCGTCTCCATCACTACCACCACCATCAGTAGCGGCAGCGTCCCCCGGCAGCAGCGTGGTAGTGAGAGAGGGACGGGGTTGTCTTCCCTGCCTGCCCGTCTCAGTCGGTGCTGGACTGGTGTAGTGCGCGGTCGTGTGTCACTCCTTTCGCTACGCTGGTAACTTATGTGTCCCCAAAGCACCTCAGGGGACCTTAATTATACTCGTTCGACACTTTTACTACAACTTCCGGTAATTGCAGGCTTTGTGTCAGCGTCTATACCCCCTGACCAGGCTACTGACGGAGGTTGTGGTAGGGGGCGTGTCGAAGTACAAGCAGCCAGGGGGTCGACTCCTGGTTTCCGCTAGCATGGTGCAGTAATATGTGTACTCTGTTGTTATTATGGGTATTGGAGGTTGATTAGTGTTTAATCTGGCGTTAAATTAGGAGATTAAACTCGGGTGTTATCCTCCTGGCCAGACAATTTGTAGGACCCATCTCCTCGTCACGATAATTGTGCAGTGAAGGATACTGTGAGAGAGGGAACACCTTCACTAAGGACGATACAATTCTGCACCTTTAATCCTGCCAACACTGGAACAAATTAACTCTTTTTAAGATGTTAAGACTTTTATAAGTGTGTCTGAAGTGTTAATATCCAAGAAAATTCTGCAGTGTTCAAATATTCATTTTCGTTCCGTGAATTGCTGAAATTTATGTATGACTCTTGAAGATGTCAGAGTTCCCGTGTTTTCTGAGTCTTATAATTTCTCTTTTTTTCTTCACCTGCCACTTTAAGATCCACCCATTTGCTGGTAAAAACACTAAACTACGCAATTATTCCCTAAACCTCATGATAATCACCCAATCACAGAGTATAGTCATTACTTCCTAAATATATAATATAATGAAGGAGAGATTATGGAAGGTTGGTTGTGATGTAAAGAACGTGATGGTGCCGCCAGTCTAGTCTCTGGTGCCGTACTGAGAATATATGGTCATTATTAGTCAGGGGAAGACAAGGTGGTGTCCTGACTTTATCACCATAACTGAGCAGGTCGTCTGGGGCACTGCCGGCGTCCTGCTGCCTACTGTACACCGACACGGGGGTGTACATGGGTCCTGTACACCGACACGGGAGGGTGTACATGAGTCCTGTACACCGACACGGGGGTGTACATGGGTCCTGTACACCGACACGGGAGGGTGTACACGAGTCCTGTACACCGACACGGGGGTGTACATAGGTCCTATACACCGACACGGGAGGGTGTACATGGGTCCTGTTCTCCTACAAGGGGGAGGGTGTACATAGGTCCTGTACACCGACCCGGAGGGAGGGTGTACAATCTGTACATGCTTCTCTACACCGGCACGGGAGGAGTGTGTACATGCTTCTGTACACAGGCACGGGAGGAGTGTGCACATGCTTCTGTACACAGGCACGGGAGGAGTGTGCACATGCTTCTGTACACAGGCACGGGAGGTGCACATGCTTCTGTACACACAGTGCACTTCCTGTACACACCAGCACAGGAGGAGTGTGCACATGCTTCTGTACACACCAGCTTTGGAGGTGGTGTACATGCTTCTGCACACAGGCACGGAGGAGTGTACATGCTCAGCACAGGAGGAGTGTGTACATGCTTCTGTACACCAGCACAGGAGGAGTGTGTGCACTTCTGTACCAGCACAGGGGAGGAGGTGTACATGCTTCTGTACACACAGGCACGGGAGGGTGTGCACATGCTTCTGTGCACAGGCACGGGAGGAGGGTGTACGTACATGCTTCTGTACACCGGCACGGAGGAGTGTGTACATATCCTCTGGTCACATCACTTACGGTACTATTAAATGAACGTGTCTCGAGCCGTCGGCAAAGAACACAAGAATGAAGGTTGTTTGCACTGTGTGTGTGTGTGTGTCCGAGCAATACTATCTTTACGTTGTCTGTTGGGGAGAGAGAGAGAGAGAGATCTTATTGTGGGAGAGATAGAGATAGTTCACTGTGAGATAGAAATAGTTCAATGTGGGAGAGATATAAATACGTCTCTTTCTACGTAAACTGATATGAATTTAAAAGGCAAATTGTGTTCTGGTTCTGTACGTGAGTTGGCAGTTGTTGGGTGTACCAGCTTGTGTTGAGTAGACTGCAGTAAGAAACACACACACACACACACACACACACACACACACACAAAGAGGTTGGAGGACAGTGGTAGATTTGTATGTATAATTTGATAGTAATGGTGTTTGTTTTGTGTGGGTTTTTTTCATTGGTAAGAAAAAAAAACACAGTATGAAGGCGGGTTGACTGTATTTGCATGGAGATCAGTTTGGCTGTAGTGCAGGTATCAATATGCAAAGTGATTCAGCGTTTAGGGGTAGCGATGTGTGTGTGTGTGTGTGTGTGTGTGTGTGTGTGTGTGTGTGTGTGTTTGTTTGTGTGTGTGTGTGTGTGTGTTAGAGCAGTAGTGTATAAATACCTAAATTTGTCTCTCAACACTAGGAGACCACCACAGTATAAGAGTCTCCAACACCAGGAGACCACCATACTTTTGGAGGTCAGTCGCCATGTGTTCAAGGTATTAACTCCTTTACACTGTTATCTAATGAGGACCTTCCGTGTTGTGAGGAGGGCGGGAGGAGGTGGTGTGAGAGTGGGAAGAAGGTGTGAGGGAGGAAGGAAGAGGAAATGAAGGGTTGACAGGGTGGGAGGAGAAAAAGGTGTGAGGGCGGGAGGAGGAGGGGGTGGAAGATGTGAAGGAAGAAGGAAAAGGAAATGAAGGGTTGTTAGGGTGGGAGAGAAAGAAGGTGTGAGGGCGGGAGGAGGAGGTGGTGGTGGTCAGAGGGCGGGGGAATATGAGGGGGTGTTGTGAGAGCGGGAGGAGGTGTATATGGTAGGTTGTAGTAATATACTAAGACAGTGTTTGTACCATGACTCTACCTTATAAAGGATATAGCTATATATTTCCCCTCGCTGGTGGGTATATGACTAGACTAGCCATTAAGACAGCCATACTAAGTGACCTGGGGAGTGTGTGGATGACTGGTAGGGCAGGTCCACACACCGTCTTGGCACCAACATTATTCTGAGGCTCTCGTGACTAGAGGCGTTCTGTTGTTTTCATTTACACGGAGAAAACTGTACGAATCTTGACCATTGAGACCACACGAGGCTACACCCGCTGTTGTGCCGGTCATTCTCGTTTTCAGTCGTAATTTGTTTTTGACGATTTCTCGCAAGAATGTACGTTATGATTTTCGTCACGCTGACTCTGTTCTGGTATTCCAGCGCTGTGCACGACATCTTTAAGGGCCTGGTTCAGTAGTGCAGATGAGTCGTATATACTCTAGTAACGTTTCCTCTACACGTACTGTACGCGCACCAAATAAGTATTGTAAAATTCTGAACCGTTGAGCTGGTGGATCATCACCACTTATCAGGCGGAAGAGAAGTGTGCGTATATGACCATCATTAGCCGCCGACTCTTGTGTCAGCTCGAGTGCGTTATAACAAAGCCGTGATGTTTGATATTTTACCCAACAGGAACAAGTTGGTGATGGCTGGGTTATACCTCGCAGTGAGGGGTGTAGACTGTGACGGAGGTGTTAGCCAGTATGATCCACACACTGGTGATATCATGGAGGTGATGAGACCACCACATTGTATAATGATTGTATACTTTTTAACATTGACCCAGTCTGGGAGGCACACAAGGCAGTGTACTGTATGCTGGGCGGTGTTAAAGTGACCAAGATTTAGGCTGTGGTCACATACTCTATCATTGACAAGATAAATTAATGTTTAGTTTTGTGACAAGGGGCGGGTATAATAATTATGTCCTACCCTAAAGATCTGTTGATAGACGAGAAGACATGAGGGAAGGGAATTGCATATTCAGGAAGCGCGAGGAATAAAATGGTGAGGTCACAGGCGTTGGGTGATGGCGGGTGTTGTGATGGGGGGAGTGGACTGGATCTGTTTGGCACACTGACCATGAAAGCAATGACAGACAAGAAGAAGTAAAGAGATGGATTATTGAACTTGGGGGGTACGAGGATGGGGTAACAGCTGTGAGTTGTATTTTGTATAACAGTGATAGGCAGCACTACGGAGCGTCATCCCTCTCTTTAGAACAATATCATAATGAGAGCTGATGTGGTTATGGCAATAATTTATGTATAGAAAGGAAGCCTAGTATTTTGGAAGCCTGTTTGGAATGTTGGACGTAAAGTTTCACAAAAGGTTATGAGTTATAGTAACACCTAGTTTATTGACACTGGTGGCTGGTATAACGGGGGTTGTGCTGAATGAAATTGAAGGATTGAAGTCATTGTGTGTGTGTGTGTGTGTGTGTGTGTGTGTGTGTGTGTGTGTGTGTGTGTGTGTGTGTGTGTGTGTGTGTGTGTGTGTGTGTGTGTGTGTGTGTGTGTGTGTGTCAGGAAGAATTTTGGTCTTGATGGTAATAGACGTGACAAGACTATGCGTTCCTCACTGTGGTTGTATCATATGGGCGACCTGCAGCAGGACTTGACTGAGCTTTAGATAGGCTTAACTTTTGTACACGTTCTTGTTATCAGCAAAGAAATATAAACAGGTGGAAGGAATAGTGAGTGGTCATCAATATGGAGTAAGAAAAAGATAGACGCAAGAACTAAGCCTTGAGGTACTCCAGCAGTGTTTGAGCCGTTTACATGTACACGGATAATTGGTTGGAGAGAAAGATATAAGAAATAAAGAATAACGGAGAGCAAATGGAAGTTGGGTAAGGAAAACTAGATGCCAATCATTGTCAAAAGCCGTAGAAACCACACTGGGTGCCATCGGGGAGTGGTTGTCTTGAAGTAAGTGGTTGTTTGACTGATTTCATAACATTAGAAATGACCGAGGGAGAGCTGTGATGCGCGAAGTTGGGATGGGGGATGGATCACCTTTTCAGGAATAAGTTGTACTGCACGTTGGTTAATTTTTATGATAGGGTTGAAAAAGCCGAGAGGAGAGATGGAGTTTCAGGCGCCCATTTTGTGAGGATGACAGGTGGGATACCATCTGATCCCGGGGCTCTGTTTGTGTCTTGGTTGGTATTAACAGAAAACACAAGACAGGTGTAAGATATAGGAGGTTGTTTGGGATGGGGTGAACGTGTTGCTAATAATGGAGGGAGTTGTTGTCAAGATCTAAAGTTGAATTGTCTATAGTTGTGGAACCTAGAAGATTGATTTCGTTGTGGTGGTGAGGTGACTGTTA